CTGCAAAGTTTAAGCCAAAATGTGTTAAAATGTATATGTTTTCGGTAGCTTTCTCTTGATTTTATACATTGTTATTTTGTGGATTGTTCACTTAAGTCAGCTTGATTTTATATATCGTCTTCTCTGTCTCTTTTATATCCCGCTTTATCCTCTTGTTCTTCCTGTAAAGCATGTTTCAACTTCTGTTTCAAAGGTTGCTGCATAAATAACGTCTGCTTGCAGTTTGGAACAGCCAGCTCCCCCCCTGTGCTGCAGTCCTTGTTGTTAATAACTTCCACTGTCCTGAGAGGAGTGCAGATGGAGGGAGGCAGACCAACCATGTGCTGCAACAAGGACATGATCCCTTGATGTGGCCAAACCAGAAGCTCCACTGCAGAGGATTGAATTCCGAACCCTTAAACTATCAGTAACTATCTATAACCTTCATCATAGATCAATATCATGGTCTGTTATAAGGCACATCAGTAAAAAAACAAATTTGTCCTGAAAAATGTTTTCCCTCAGGGAGTGGCAGTGATGTTCATTGTGTGAGAGGTAACCAGGAGGCCAAATCAAACCAACCCCCTGCCAACATGTGTCAGGATCATATAATGCATATTGTTATATGAAATCCATGTCTTACATTGTATCAAATTGACAAGGTCTTTACAAAAGTAAGACTTAAGTTACTTCCTGTCTTTCAAAGGCCCTGCGAGCAGGAAGCGCGTGGCACCATCGTGCCGTAGGCAGATCGCTGTACGATATGTTTGTTAGCGTGTTAGCATTCTGATTAAGGGCCAGTTGGTGCCCTGCTTCGAAGGTCTAATCTGGCCTCACGCCTCACTGCACATGCTCAATAGAGTCCGCACCCTGCATCATGACATCATGTCTTTGTGTGAAATCCCGGTGCCATTCACGGGCCCACCGTGGGGCTTAGCATGCAAGCGTCCACTATACCAACACACAACTCTTTAAAGGGAGTCCCCTGGTCCCCCGGCTCAGTGGATACACCCTGATGCCTCCACAGAGTTCTGAACATGGCTTCTATCCTCCGAATCAACAGGCTGGGTCCATGTGCCATCCCATGGGTCGATGGGAGCGAGTATTTGGGTTTTTTGTTGGGGACATTTTTAAGTGAGAAGGTATCACTGCTCCTGGATATATGGAGACTAGTTCTAGCTATCCAATCAGCTAACATACACACTGACGTTCCTGGACGCCATGTCATTCAGAGAAAAACTGTAGCAAATGATTTGGGAACATTTAACACGGCAAGATAGTGCCTCACACTGGTTTTTGCTCTTAGATTACATCATCTATTTGTGAAAAGCTGTGGGATCAGTGAAGCTCAGTGTGGAGGCCAAATCTGCCACTAACCAACAGATCAGAGAGCAGACATCAGAGGTGGACTTTCTAGTTCACCAGGACAGTGATGTCGCCTACGAAAAAGAACACTATTGGTTGAGAGACAGCGAGGGTGGGCTGTAATAAGATGGGCAGACATATCCACAAAAGGAGTGATGACTTCTATTCTATTCAATGATTGTTGAATTTGACCACTGATATATGTTACCCGTGGCCTGTAGTTTGAGGTCACCTCCATTGTCCATCTGAGAAGTTAAATTATACTGAAAAAATGATTACCCTTTGTATCAATACATTTAAAAATGTATTTTTTTCTGTTGTTTAATTATTCCTTTAAAGACTATAATTAATCACACAGATTTCTTAAAACTCAGTGGATGCAGCGGATCATACTGCCTGAATATGGAGCAAATAAAATAAAAAATAGTTCAATTTCTGTCTCTGGAAAGAGAGCTGACATCATGTCCCAAGTTTTCCATTCAGACTAAACAAAAATTCTGAATAAGAACACGATACTTGATAGCACAATTTTACATTTTTATTAAAAGTTCAGACATAAATATGTTCAGACTTCAAACTTATAATAGTTCAAACTTTTTTGATTTGGTCCTGAGGATATGAAACAATCGTGGAACCTGGAAATTAGTTTGTGCAAAGGGAAATGAGTTGTGTATGTGTAAGCAAACTGTCTGTTCCAGACTGCCATGTAATTGTTTTGTTCCTTCCTTTAATTTGATGCATCAGTGGTTTACCGGGAGAACAAGTTTTCAACAGTTTGGATAACAGACAAATAAAAGCATTCTTCAAATAAACTTTTCCAAAAGTCCGAGAGTGGCTTATAATCTAAGAATTAAATGTTAGCACAAAGAAATCACATTGTTGACATACAGCAGGTCTTAGATTGTCACAATCACAAGGTTCTGCATGTCAACACTATGTCGTATTCTAATGTAAGTATCAACATCCCGTTCCCCATTTGCAGAGAGGCTGATGGACCCATATAAAAACATATGAACATTTTTAAAGCCCCTGTCTTCATGTTAAAGCTATCATCAACATTAACTTAAAAATGTGACTGAGCAGAAAGTTTTCAGTCCTATTTTCACAGTTTAACGAACAATCCACGACAACCAGTAATTATATGAAGGTAGAACCTGTTAACCTCCAAAACTCAAACATCTGTCTGATGTATTTTCAGTAGTGGTTTGTTTTCAGTTATGTTGTTGAACAGGTGCACTGCAAGATCTGGAAGCTTAATTTTGACATTTTTTGTAACTTACATGTATATTTACCCATTTAAAGATTTAAAAAAGTTATTTAAAGTATAGTTATTCTTTTTCTTAAATTAAACATACAGAAAACTAAATACAATAAATTACAATTTGAAAAACATTAAGTCATTAAGTAAAATTAAAGTTCCAGAGGTACAAACATAAAACACAAGCAATTGTTTAATGCAACTTTAAAATCTTACTAAAACAACTTATTGAAATTTTCATTGTAATATTCTTTAAATAAATATTTTGTTTAAATTAATACTTTTTATATTGTATATATACATTGATTATATTAGAATAGTTAGTCAATCAATTATAATTGTAATCCCCTGAAAATGGAGTACTACATAATCATCACTGTGCATATGAATAATATTGCTGTGTTTGTGTGTTTCCATATCTTTACACACAAAAAACTATGTATTTAAACTATATATTTAAATGTCAGGTCAAACATGCTGGTGTGACACATCATGGAGCTCCGGCTGTCAGAAATCAGAGGAGAGAGGCTTATTAAGTTATTGATTGAATTTGTGCAGATCTGGAGGATATTTCATAATATGAATTCAAAATATTTAGACAGTGGAAACAATCCTCTTTGAGCTCTGCAGTAGCATTTCCCCTGTTCAAACATCTGTCGAGTGATTCAAAGATCAAAGACTGCCGCTGAATGTTTTTCTCCCCTGAGCCGCAAAAGTTTAACTAACCTCCCTAATAGATATTTCAGCGTGTCCTTTCATTCAGTGGTTCAAATTCTTCACATTCCAGCTAAGGGACACATGATGATACACAATTGCACACACAGAGGTGGACTCAGTTATCAACTACGTAAAAACACATTTGATAACAGCGACCCTAACTGCATTACTTTGGAAAGCATTTATCAGTGAAAAATCACAATAACAAAATGCACAAATAAGCACATACAAACAAAATATATAAATACTATTTTCATATGGAAAAAAAACAAAACAAAATTAAATAAAAGTTAGGGCCTGAATCATACTGTACGTTAAATCTCACCTAATGTTATGCAAGTCTTCCTTTGGCTATTGAGGTTTGTAGATTTAAAATTATTCATGAGGAAAACAGACTATGTGAGCTGTGCATTTTGGGACAAGTGGAGAGTGAGTCCCATTTTCTTCTGTACTGCGCATACTCTAAGGAATGAAAATTTAGCCTGAAATTTCTCAACAAACGCCTGACATTTTCTGATGTCATTGTTGTTTCATTTTCATGTGCTTAAATTTGTTAACTTTGTCTTAAGGGTCTGGACAAGAAGGCGAGATGGACTATTTTATTAGTATTTACTCTGATTTCCCCAGTATTCAGTAAATGTTTTTGTTAGAGATGGGTTTTTTTGTGTGACTTTTTTGTAGTAATGTTTGAAAATGAATGCATGACATTCTGGATCTGGCTTATATGAATCTGTGTTGTCTTGTAAAGCCTGTGCAAAACTGTATGCATGTCACAGTAATAAAACTTAATTTATTACTTAAATAAAATGAAAAAGAACCAACATGAGAGCATTTACCTTATTTAAACCTTTACACATAGTTGAAATTAACCTCCTGCTGCCTGCACTGAATAGCAACAATGTCCAGTGTTAATGCTTGAGGACATAAACTCTCCTTTATCCCTGCCTGAGCTGATAGTTTGTCACTGACCTGCCTTTCTGCTCCAATGTTCAGCATGGCAGTACAGCTGGAGGCACATAAGCTGTTGTTGTTTCATCTACTGTATTTGTGCTTCTACATACAGTATATATGTGTGAGGAAATTGCATGCATGGAGCTGAACTGCTGTTCTGTGGACTCGGTGCCCTGGCTGTACAGTGTCCATGTTGGTGTGGGAGCCTGAGGCCTGCTCCCATACATCCCCGCTCTGGCTCTGTTGATCCTATTGTCTCCTGCGTCACCACACGTCGCCCGGCAAATAAAGGCCGTCTGGCTCCAAGCTTAAATATTGCAGCAAACTAAAAACCAACCATCAGAGCCGATTCATTCACATCTGCTCAGTGGGGCGACAAGGACGGGGCTTTAGGTGGGAAAGAGGGCAGAAAAAAGTTCACTTTTCCCTGCCGGGTGCCAAGAGAACGGGACAGGACTCAACTTTGCCGGAGCCGCAGCTGTGGCAAGTTGCCCATTTGATTACATTTAACCTATATCATACCTTATAGAAAATCAAACTATTTGTTACTTATTGATCTCACTTTATTGATTTTTACACGGGAATTATTGTGTGGAATTTTTTTAAAGAGATGGAGATTTTTTGGTTTGCACCACTGTTAATGTTCAACATAGTTAATTGTGTTTATATTGAGAACAAGCAGCCTTCTAACCGGAAAAATCAATACTTTGCTAAAAGTTTTAATTGAATATTCGACTCATATTGTTTTTTATCTAATTGTAATGAGAATAGAACAGACTCTCAGAAGTTTCAAATTCTTCAAGTTTTTTAATAGAATCATGTGTGGTAGCATGTATTACAGCTTAGGTGTTATTTTTGATCAGTTGGAGTTTTTCTCTTTTACATTTCTTACTTTTGGCACTCTCTATTCCCCTCCCCCTGTCTGTCCTGCCTACCCCACCCTCTCTGTCTGTCTGCACCCTCTGTGTCCCCTTCTACCCCACCCTTCATTCTGCAGTGCTACGGACCGATCATGGGTGACTGGAGCTTTCTGGGTAATATTTTAGAGGAAGTTAACGAGCACTCTACGGTGATCGGCCGGGTGTGGCTCACGGTGCTCTTCATCTTCCGTATCCTCATCCTGGGCACGGCGGCGGAGTTCGTGTGGGGCGATGAGCAGTCTGACTATGTCTGCAATACACAGCAGCCCGGATGTGAGAACGTGTGCTACGACGAGGCCTTCCCCATCTCCCACATCCGCCTGTGGGTGCTGCAGATCATCTTTGTGTCCACACCGTCTCTGGTGTACGTGGGTCACGCTGTGCACCATGTCCACATGGAGGAGAAACGCAAGGAGCGCGAGGAGGCAGAACTTAGCCGACAGCAGGAGCTGAGTGAGGAGCGTCTCCCTCTGGCACCTGACCAGGGAAGTGTCCGCACCACTAAGGAGACCAGCACAAAGGGAAGCAAGAAGTTCAGGCTGGAGGGCACCCTGCTGAGGACCTACATCTGCCACATCATTTTCAAGACACTGTTTGAGGTGGGCTTCGTGGTGGGCCAGTACTTCCTGTATGGCTTCCGCATCCTGCCCCTGTACAAATGCAGCCGATGGCCCTGCCCCAACACGGTGGACTGCTTTGTGTCTCGCCCCACGGAGAAGACCGTCTTCATCATCTTCATGTTGGCTGTGGCCTGTGTCTCACTCTTCCTCAACTTTGTGGAGATCAGTCACCTAGGCCTGAAGAAGATTCGCTTTGTCTTTCGGAAGCCAGCCCCGGCCCCAGCCCAGGGTGAGGGCTCGGCCCCCCTGCCGCTGCAAGGGAAGAGCCTGCCCCCCCTGGCTGTGCCCTCCCTGCAGAGAGTGAAAGGTTACAGGCTGCTGGAGGAGGAGAAAGCTCCCCCCATGACTCACCTCTACCCGCTGGCTGAGGTGGGCATGGAGGCTGGCAGAGGGACCCCACCCTTCCAGGGGCTGGAGGAGAAAGTGGAGGAGCCCATGCTGCCCATGGAGGACATCTCTAAGGTGTATGATGAGACTCTGCCCTCCTATGCCCAAACCACTGAGACAGGGGGGGTGACATTACATGAGGAGGAGCCCGAGGAGGTGCAGCCGGCGGAGGCGGAAGCCGAGAGGGTGGAGGAGGTTGTGGATGAGGATGTGGAGGTAGAGGAGGCGGTGAACGGGGAGGGGGTAACTCCATCAGAGGCAGGGATGGAGGCCACGGATACGATAGAAGACACCAGACCGCTGAGCCGACTGAGCAAAGCCAGCAGCAGGGCCAGGTCAGACGATCTCACTGTATGAACCTGTGAGAGAGAACACATGTACACCTGCACACACCAAATGTTCAACATAAGAGAGAGCACACACACACCTAGCTCAAGACAATGCATACTCTTGAACAGGCAGGTCAAAAACCAATGGATGAAAAACAAATAACAGGGATAGATTAAAACCTTTAAGACACAGGCAATAATTCTATAAGTGACAAAAAATCTGCGTGTTTGTGATAAAAAAAATGAAATATAAAAAGTAGAGGTTAAAGAGGGGAGGAGTAGGTTTTTTATTAAGCGTGTTCTTGTATTTAAATAAAATGTGGAAAGGACACATGCAGGGGGGAAATGTTTTTACTTGATGAAAATCCATGTTCAATTTTCAGAAACATCTTTTTCTATTGAAAGAGTTTTAATCATATACAATGGAGGATTAGACATTTTTACATGGGGTTTGAGTAGATAGGGGAAGGAGAGTTATAATATACTTGTGTGTCTGCAAATCAATAATTTCGCTGTAGTTAGGCACTGACTTTCATTCCCATTCAGACAATGACATACTGCAAATGCAGCATGTTGCTGCACACGGCGCGGGTGAGAGGGCTCTCGCACACACAAACACACACGATGAAGTGCCGGTACATTTACAGGTATACAGCTCTTTGAGAAGAAGAAAAGTCCATTTTCAGGTTGAGAAGAGCATACCTTTTTTTTTGCACATTCAGAGATTTAGACTCTGTGCAAGGCCTTTAACCCTCATAACACCTCATCTATGCATCCATTTACACAGGATTCTTTCAAGTGAAGAGAGATGTGCATCAATTTCAGAGCATTTCTCTCCTTTTCATGTTTATATATCATGTAGCACAGCCAGAGCTGAGTTAGTGAGGAAAAACAACAACAAAAAAAGACCACATGTTGAATGTCTTTTTCAATGTGATTTTGCATCTCTTCATTTTAGATTTGCTTATGTTTTTGTAGCCTTTTAAGTAGATCTGTGTAGTGTGATATCAGTTGTCCATGGAAGAGAGCGGGGCTCATTTTGCCTTATCAGAGAATGAACTATAGTAGCGACCTCAGGCCAAATCCTCTCTTTTCGTGCTGTACAAACAGGCGTCCGGGCGATAAAGATCATGCACCATCAGCACAAAGTATTGTTGGAGGCGAGACAATAAAAGAAACGGCGCTCATCAATGAAAACAAGCATCCTTGACCTGGCTGTGAAAAAATCTCTCTACCTGATTTTATGTGACCACATTAGGTCTTTTCTCCACAAGAAAACAACACAATACCCATGGCATGCTTTCAAACTCGGAGAGAAACAAACACCTAGGGGCAACTCACACTGTACATAATGCCCTAACTCTGTCTGATAATGTACATAATGTGCAGAAAAGCTGTTTTTAGTTATTTCTCTGTCTAGAGGAATCACACAAGTTATCATTGTGATTACAATATTGATTTAATCCCACACACCTACTAGAATAAAGAGAAAATGCCCATGCTGTGGTATCGTACATCAATCTGAGTAAAGATTTCTTTATTAGCAATTACTTTAACACAAAGCGTGTTAAGCCTTAAAGTAAGCCTTAGGTTAATCATAAATCTTCCACTCCCATTCTCTGGCATTGTTTATTCAAACATCTACCACTGTATGACTTCATGTGCCCTATCTGTAAATGTAAATTCACAAATGTTGTAAGATTGTAGCAAGTGCTTATATTGCTCTGGGACCTATGTGAACTCAATGTTTTATTTGCTTTTTCCCCCCTCTTATATTTTAGTTTAATTTCTGTATGCAACCCCTCAACACACACACACACACACACACACACAAACACACGCGTAAAAACATCCTTTATTATGCGTCTTTATTATGCAGCTCAGATAGTTAAAAAACAAGTATTTAACGTATCGACATGATAATTGAATGATGTTAGGAAGATATCGAGGCATAAATTGAGGCATTTTTGCATACATGAATGCACCCACATGTGCCTTTGTGTGCACTCACACACACGCACGCACATTCACACAGACTCCTCACAGCGTTGTTTTTGGGGGTATGATCAAATGGCTCTAGAGAAACTCAGAGAGAAGGCAGCTTTGACCCCTTTGTGACCCCCAGCCATCCCGTCGCCTCCCATAATCCAATGCTGTGGAATCTGAATCAAAGAGAGCCTTCAATGAATCACCAAGTTGTTGAATTTAAGCATTTAACAGTGTTACAGTCAAAAGCATGATGCTGGTACTTGTATACATCGATACAACTGGTAATGTATGATTTTTTGTATTCTGAGACTGTTGCATTGGCCTGTATGTTTGTAAGAAGACGTGATTAATATTTGGAAAGAAAGAAAAAAAATCATTTTTACTAACTTGTAGTCTTCTTTGCTGATAGATGTGTGACAGTATCTTCTTTTGGAATGTGAAGCAACGCAATAAAAAGTCACACGTGGTCAAGAAGTGTTGTGTCAGTGTGTCTCTGAAAAAACGCATGCACGCACGCACAAAACAAGAAGCAAAACTAGCACTGTACTTTATTACACAAGGTAAAAAATGTCATTAAGGTTCGGTTGTATGTTTAGATAACAGACTGACTCTTGAACAGTGACTAAACCTGTGGTGGTAGTAGTATGGAGAAACACTTTCATTTATGCATTTACATACAACTCTGTGGCATTTGATTCAACACACACTTTTGTTTTTTTACACGCACGCACGCACGCACGCACGCACGCCTATTCATAATATCACATATTTATCCACATCAGTAGAAGGTAATGTCTCTGGAAGGTAAAGCTTGCAAATGTACTTTACTAAAGTGTTTTACACTATACACTAACAGAAAACTCGGATCTAAATAAAAGTAGCAAAAACACAGTTTAGAAATACTATGTTACAAGGAACGAAAATTAAAAGAACTCAATATGCAGAAAAATTTATATTATATTACAGGATTTTACTTAGTGATGCATTAAAGTGTAAATAACTTTAATGTTGCAGCTGGTAACGGTGAGGTTTATCTTAACTACTTAGTACTTTTGGATAACTTGTAAATGTACACAGAAGAATCAAAAAAGTCTTAAATGATAATACTATCTATTTGTTGATTATATTTTGTATTATTAATCTGAATCTGCAAAGTAAGAATTAATATTAAATAAATGTAGTGGAGTAGAGAGTACAATATTTCACTATGAAATGTGGAGAAGTACACGTATAAAGTATCAGAAAATGGAAATACTCAAGTAAAGTACAAGCACCTTAAAATTGTACTAAGTATAGTACTTGAATAAATGTATCGGCCATCATGGATTCTACTCAACTAGATTTAAGTTCTCCAAAGATATTGCTATTGGGAGACTTACTTGTGAATATATCGCCACTAAGGGGCAGTATTGTAAAAGGTATTTTCAAAAGGGCTAAGTAAGAGCTAAGCTTCTATTTATTTTAATGGCTGGATCAGTTTGGTATTACTTTACATTTGGAAATTTGGAGAGTATTTCAGCATTCATAAATATTTACAGAAACACTCCAACTTAAAAACCTCTTATTTATAGAAACTTTATAATACTTTACTTGAGTATTTCAAATGAATGCTACTTTATTACTTCTACCAGAGGTGGACAAGTACTCAGACCTAAAGTAAATGTGGCAATTTCACAAGGAAAAGTAATGTATTAAAACTTTTAATTAAGTAAAGGTACAAAAGAATTAGCATAAAAACATACATCAAGTACCAAAAGTCAAAGTAGTCATTATTCATAATGGCCCACTTCAGAATTTTATATATATAACATTACAGGATGGTAATGCATATATCACTTTAATGTAGCAGCTGGCAAAGGAAGGGTTTATCTTATCTACTTTATATACAGCAACAATAACATCCCATCAGAATTTTGTTTCTGGTCATGTGACAAAAGTAAATCCATTAGTCACTGTCCTTTCATCTCAAGTGCAGCTCTTTGCTTATTTAATGTTTAATCAAAATGTAAGTTACAGCAAAACTAATTCTTTGCTGTAATGTGACATCTAATCTCTTGAGTTAAAGGAACTTCATACAGGACCAGTCAAGTTCTGGGTATTGTGAAAGTAAAATAAAAATTGAAACATTTTAAAAATAACCTATTCTGCAAAACTCACAGCACTATCACAGCACCATCTATGGTCTGTTATGTGAGGCCTTTTAGATGCAATGAAGTTTTGGAATTTTAGAGTCACTGCATCTAAAAAGCTAAATTTAGACCATGATGACATCCGTGCCAGAAACTGTTTTGCACACATGCTTGTGATAAAGGGTGGAGCTTTGGTTAGTTTCCTTGATAAAGATACTAATACTTTAACTTGACTGTCATTTTTCCCCCAATTGATGCTCAATTCCATCTTACTTTTGGGAGAATTTTACCTTAACCCCCATGTGTGTCAGATGCAAGTGGACTAACAGCTGATATTATTCGATTGCAGCTAGTTGAAGACAGATTCTGTGGATTCAATCACACTCACCCTTTTATTTCATTTCATTCATTCATTTAGCTGATGCAAAGCAACTTACAATTGCTATATATGTCAGAGGTTGCACGCCGCTGGAGTAACTAGGGGTTAAGTGTCCTGCTCAGGGACACATTGGTGGATGGGTTACTGTGGGGAATTGAACCTGGTATGTAGCTTATCCACCATCCCGCTTTTACTGCTGAATAGGACAGTGTGAGAGCCCCATTAGTGGCAGATGAATCTGAATGGAGACCACCAATTGGTCCAGAGATGATGAGAATGAAATCTGCTCCGACTGAGAAAACTGTGCCAGTGCAGGAATATTGCGATGGCAACAGACAGAGTACAGCCAGTGTTTCTTTTATCTACTCTGAAACACATGTGAAATAGATGAACATGCTAAACATAAACAGGGTTGTGGAAAACAAGGAGTGCTGAGTTTAAAGTACATACACAGTACCCACAACAATTATGTGTGGTTATTGTGTAATTGGGTGTGTCCGCTTGTCCATGTTGTGACTCCAAACACAGCTGTACTGATTCTGTTTAGACTCTGTGTCTGACCGTTTTTCCTATGCCTGCTTAAATATGTGGCAGGCAATTCTAATCAAACACACGTCTTTTTGTCAAATTCAGCAAATATCTCCTCATGATCTGCTAGCTGTCCGTTCAGTGTGTGCGCTGGCTCTGTAAATGTGAAACAATCAGACTGACTCTGACTGAGCCAATAACATTTCCAGTGGCAAAAAAATGATGCAATTCTCAAACTTTTCTTTTTGGTCTCAATTAGCATATGCATAAGGTTTTAACAAAAATCTAAAATTGTAAGAAGATTGTAAGAATGCTGATCTAAGTGAAAATGCAAACTGCCATTTCCATTTCATTATCATATGAGCTGACATATCTCAAAAAAAAAATGCAAAAGCCTCAGTTTGCATTTTCATTGTCAACTGTAACTGTACGAAGATGTGCGGCCCATTTTATATTCACTATCAGGATTATACTTCATAGCACAGTGAAAATGATGTGTCAGTGGATTATTTTGTGCGTTTTCAAACATGAAAATGAAAACACGTAATGTGATCTAAGGCCCCTCACACTCAGCAGGTCATATGGATAAGACAGTACAGGGTCAGCTAAGTTTCTGCAATCCAATGTCTGAGTAAAGGCTCACAACATGCGCTGCAAACTCAAAGTCTCTCTCAAACACACATTAAAGCACTGTACTTATATGGCTACAGACCACAAAAGTCATCTTAACATTCACTTCCTGTATAGCATTTCTGGTGTGTGTGGGGGGCCTAAGAAGGTTTAATCACTTCACATGCATCAGCTACAGTGTCACACACGGAAATCAAGAGTCAATTGTCCTTATATATATATTTTCTCCTTTTTGTTGCCTTAGTAACATTAAATCAAAGTTGCAGTTTAGAGTTGAGGAACTTAGAAGGAGACATAACAGCAGATGCAGATACTCACTACCGGTAAGTACGTGGAGTTACTATATTTATGACACAGTGTTTGGGTTGGGAAAGAATGTGATCTTGTTTATGATTCTCGTTAGCGGTCAAATGTATTATTTTACAGTCACTTGTTTGTTCAACTCGGATCTAGTGAGTGATTCTGTGACAGGAACAATTGTAATCTCAGTGAGGCTTTGTTATTTGGGCAAAATGTCATTACCAATACCCTCTTAACATGCAAACTCTGTTAACCACATTGTATACCCACATACACATCATTTCAGTATCTAGGTGCGATGGAGGATTTTTCTAAACATTCAGGCATCAAAAGGACCTTTTCTCTGATATGCTACATGTTCTGGATTCTCTCACCAGCAGGTAAAAATTTGACAATAAGTATGAGCTAGAGGAATAGTTTGACGCTGTTTATTCGCATTTTGGTCGAGAGTTAGATGAGAAGATCAATGCCACTTGCATCTGTATAGTACATGTGAAGGTGAACTTCAGCTGCATAGTGACATTTTTACAGTTTGGTTGTTGATTAAATAAGCAATATATAAAGGTGTTCATTTGTGATCTTAAGAAGCGTGCGTTGGTGGATTTTGTTACCATCAGATAGAGCCAGATGAGCAGTTTTCTCTCTTTTCCAGTCTTTGTGGTAAGCCAAACTAACTGGCTGCTGGCCGTAGCTTACTATTTAACAGACATGATATGAGAGTGGCATTGAGTTCAACATATACCCAAGCTACTGCTTTAACTGTAGTGTAGTGTTCATTGTGACGATATGGTGAAAATATAATCTAAAATCTTAAATCTATGTTTCCCTCACAGAAGGAAACACCATCTCTAAGTTGGTTGGCAGAAGAGTGACCCTGCACTGTAAGAACACATCAATTAGTACGCTCAGTCAGCTGACATGGAAAATGAACGGGAATCTACTCTTCAGTTTCAGACCAAACTTCACCTTACACACCAGTAATACATCTTCCAAACTGAGCATAAACATGTCTCTGTCAGAGAGCCAACTGTACGCACTGGTCATAGAGAGAGTCCAGAAGTCTCACACAGGAAACTACACCTGTGAGACCAACACTCTGACAGGACTTTGGGAAGAGAAGTGGGAGCTGATAATTACAGGTGTGTTCATCAGTCCTAAACTATAAGATTAGATGAAACATAAGTAATCCCAGTGGCAAAGGCAAAGAAGTTAGAATGCGAAAGATCAGAGTGAATATGGCGTAATTAAAGGTAACAGAGCCAACAATTACTATGATACTGTTGATGCACAGTAGATGCATGAGCAAACAATGGATAATTAATAGAGCAAACACAGCTAAAGCTCACATATATCATCTCATATCCTCTGGACAGACACACAGAGCCCTGGTACTGACTACATACCTGGGAACTGTATATTATAATAATTATAATTTTGGTGTACCAAATAGCTTCTTAAATTTAGAGCTTGGCTATTGAAGTAAAACTGCATGATGCCACACAGTGTCAGTGCTTTGGTTATTTTGAGAGACAACAGGACATGCGAGCACAACCTGGGCTTCCTTTATGAAACAAGACCTTGAGCTCAAAGATGGCGTACGATATTCTGGAGAAATTCATAACCATGACAAATACCCTGATACAGACTTTGAGCAAGTGGATACCCCACCTTTAAGGTAACTGCACATTAGACTTATATCGAGTTTAATTGTACAATTTGTTTTCCACTAGAGGGCGAGGAAGCTGAACATCGAAAAATTATACAGTTTGCTGTGGTAATTGGTGTTCCCTGCGTGAGTTGCCTAATCTTAATAATTGCTGTGATTGTTCTGCGAAGAGTCTACAAACAGCGTGCAGAGTAAGTTGCATTTGCCTCCATTCTTTAACACATGATTATATGTTCATATAAAATGTATGGCTAATGGAATTACACTGCCAGAATATAAACAAAATGTACCTCTCTTTTACAGAAATAACGATCATTCTCCCACTGCAGACATGGTAAATATAAGCTTGTTTTTTGAGTTACAATACAATTAACAACAAAGTGAAGACAATTTCTTGTAGAATATGTTTTGCAAAGAGCTGCAGTGACTGTAATTAAATTTTTATTAAAAGTTCTTTCATTTTCCAGCAGCAGGAGGAGCCAGCTGAAGTTATTTATGATAACTGCCTGAACAATCTTCAACATCCTTGCTACAATCAATCTTACCATTACAAACCCAGGGCTCACTGATATGAAGGGCAGTCCAACAATCTAAAAGGGGAATACCAAAAGGAAGCGAGTACTGGAAGTTGGCAACAATCCATGTTTCTGGAGTAGAAACACATTGTAAACACCTTCTGTAGCAGTGAAGTATTTTTTTTTAAACTTTTTAAAAACTTCTTTCTTAAGTAATGTACTGTATGTAATAAAGAGCATAATATTTGCTCAAAGCTGCAATATTATTATGTTTTTTTTCTCCTTTCTGTGCCTGAGTGCAATATCTGGCTCTTTAGCAGCTAAATGCTACACTACGTTCACCAGCTATTTGCTTACTTGTCTGTGTGGTGTTTGGTGCCGAGCTGGTAGTTTACAGATGGTTTTTAGGGCAAAAATAGGGCAAAATGCTCTGTAGAGCTGAGAGGAAGTGCAGAATCAGGTTATAGTTTTCTGTGTCTGATACACTGTCAGCAGCTAGGGAAAAAATACTGCATGGGTCAATGGAAAGTAGATGTCAATCATTTGTGGTTAGACATGTTAAATGTCGTAGATGCTTGATATTAAAAATATATAAACTAAAACTAACCACATCCCACTCAGGAAAACCACATTTTCATTTAATGAGTAATGTATCTTTTATTAGGTCCCTCCCTAACTCCTGAACGCCCATTTCTTTCAAACACCACAACTCCAGGCTTTTAATAAAAAAAAAATACAGGTACTCTGTGGAGTGGCAGCCATAGTAGCACTATGAGGCAATGATCTTCTGGGTCCACGTTTTGTTTATATTGTACACGTGGGCGATGCAATGCATTTCCTGCCATTGGTTTCCAATATTCTGTTGATAGGCAGCTGGTGGCAGTAATGTGCCATTGAATAAGACTTCTAACAAGTAGGATGGATGCAAACAAAATTTTTAAAAATGAAGAAAGAAATTGGCTTTACAAATGTTTTACGAGGAAGGAAAAGCATTCAATTTGTTAGGCCTCACAGATAAACACAATGCTGAGTAACACTGAATGTAAACATATCTTTTGTTTCTTTATAAAAAAATCAACAAGACTAAGCCAAATATTTTTTAAACTTCTGAAAGGTCTACTGAAGTCAGTGTGCCAATGTTTCGACAGGCTGAGGTCAGTGTACTCCTCGTGATGAGTAAACTGTGCTTCATGTGTTAATTTGGTGGAGTGCCCCTTAAAAGAACAAGTTCAGACTTTTTGTATGCGTTTTGGGAGAGTTATGGGTTGTAATCATTCATCCTGGACATACCTACGTACAGTGGGCTACATACCTCTTTCGGTACAAGGGAGACTTGAAAAAAATCTGAACCTGTTCTTTAAAAGCATGTGTCATGAATGATGTGACACATTCAGCAGCGTGGTGATCAAAAACATGTCTCTAATCACAAGACTTACAGCCAAGCGATAGGATACAGGATATTTTGTTTCCAAGGGTCTGGCCTGTGGCAGCTGCCATTTCCTGCTTTGGTCTGTTCATCAACTTTGTGGATGTATGTTTGTTGAGTCAATAAAAAAGTACGCTGTAGGGCAAGACAATTCTGAATCCCTGAAATGCTGTGTTAGATCCATGGCAAAACTCTTCTGCCACTGTTTAAAACTGGGATAGGCAATTTATTTCAAGAGCATTTTTCTTATATATGTGGAAACTGTTTTTACAGCAATCAATAAACCAAATGCTCTGACACAAAAAAAAAAAAGAAAAAAAAGATCTGGTATCTGTAATAAGCCAATTATTTCATTCCGCTGGCCTACCAGCCTGTCTACCTGCATGCACTCTGCCCGTGCACTCAATGCGCATGAAAATGTGTTCTGGAGGAAGCCTGAAGGGAGGAGGTGACCATTTTTGGATTAGATACTTTCATAAAATTAGCTGTCTCTTGCTAGTTTCTCCAATGTTTTCTACCAAAGCTTCAACTAACCAAAACTGCAGTTTAGTTTAAGTATCAAGGATGGTATGTGTATTGTGGATATTTAGAAATACTTGAGGCATTTTTAATGTTTATCCAGCTTTAATTACAATACAGAAGTCCAAAAACATTTAAAACAAAATATCAAATATTATAGCATAATAAAGCAAACACTCAATGAAATGTGCATGTCAAAAAAGCTAAAACAGTTACTAGTTATAGTTACTCTACTTATTAGTGCACACTACCAAATACATAATACAAAAGATTTCAGAAAATAAAAAAGCTGCCTTTCTGAAACAAAATCAAGAAAATGCCAAACAACAAAGGGCTGCAGATCAGATGCAAACCCAGGGTGCTGCAGTAAGGACTGTTGTGAAGTGTATTGTTTATTTGTTGTTTGTAATGTACGCACGTGATGTGGAGCTTAAACATACTGTACCGAAAAGAAATTCCATCGGCATTGTCGTATGGCTAATAAAACAACCTAATCTAATCACAGCCTTGTACATGCGGCACTCTCTCTAACAGGTGAACTAAACAGTAAGTAAGTAACTTTTTTCTACTATATATATAAAGTATTTAGAGTTCTTTAAGTCATGAAATGTACAACCTAGTTCTAGTGAACAGTCCACATTTGGTCCTAGTTCATCACTCCTAAATATTCTCTAAAATCACATAACGTTACAGCAGCTAATGCTGCCCTTTGCTAAATTAGCCACAAAGCTAATGCCGTGTCTATCAGTGGAGGAGCGCTAACGTTGATGAGCCGCTAAATTATAGTTTCTGACGTATACTAAATATATCTGTGAGCCGCCTGTCTGCAGTTATAGTCTGCGTGTCTGAAATGATGCGGACATGTAAATAAACGTGAGCTGAACAAGAATCTAACACTTCCTGTAGCTCCTCTTTTTGTGATGTTGTAGATGTGAAATGCTGTAACGGCTCTGGTCGTAGTTATAACGTTAGTTAAATGAAATCTCAAAGTTGCAGGTCCTCGTTGTAGAGAGTCATGTATTAGATGCATTCAACAGCAGCTCACTGCATCATAAACAGTGTGATTTATTATTTATATATTTTAGATTATAAGAAATGGTTTCTCGTAGCTTTGGTTAGAATTAAAGAGTGCTGGTAAAGGGATGAACTAGATGTGATATGCGACATTGAAATTATGGCAGATTAGGTGTAAAGTGAATTACACATGCTTATTCTCTCTCACTATCTCTGTTTACAGATGACTGAAAAAGTTGCACATTCCAGCAACAAATATTTAATAATGTGCAACTGTCTACATGTTCACTTTTTGAGACTAATCTATTTTAATAACATAATCCATTTAGTAAAACGTTTTATAGCCCACATACATAGTAGCTTTCAATATCGGCCTGTTCTAAGTGTAGTTTATACATTAAAGGGGTCTGCCATCCAAATAATTCTCAAAATCTAAATATTGTCTCATAAATCGTCTCTTTTTCACTTTAATATCGGCATCGGCCTCCAAAAACCTATATCGGTCGGGCTCTACACAAGTCTCGCTTATGTCCGCCTGAGATTGTACGTCGGCGTTATATTTATAGCTCGGAAACAGCTGCCAACGTGCAGCTAGTCCAGCGGTGTGTTTACAGCTAACAGCTGATGGAGTTAAGCTAATACTGGGTCCTGAGTTGTAGTTTTAAGTTTTCATCAGTCAGGAGGTTTCTACAAGGAGCTGAAATAGGTCTCCTCTTCTCCAAAACACAGTCCAACCGATTACAACAGGTTATAAAGCACGTTAAAAATCACGTTCCTCCAACACTCACACAGACATGAGTGGTGCCAACGGATCTGTATCTCTTGTCGGCTGGAAAAGTTGCTGTCCTTGCTTTGTATGGCGTATGTTAAGGCCTTAGGACGCTGCCTGGAGAGGCACCACAAATAGACTGGACTTAACTCCATTTTACTACATACACAGATGTACTAAAAAACTGATATTGTGCTAATATCATCAGGACAGGTGAAGGGAATACCAGAACTCTCTTCTCCACGGTAAGAAGACTACTCAAACCACCGGAAACTAATATGAACCTTTGAAATGAACAGTGCTCTGCTTTTTTGACATTCAGTCAGTGCAATTCCTGGGGATCTTGCCTCTGTAAACATCATGCAGACCAACCTACAAGTTCATTGTCACTGCCTCCATCCACTATCTTCTGTGACTTCAGCCTTCAAACTGAAAGTCACATTTCTGAAATTATTACCAATTCCACTAACCCCACATCTCATCTATATCCAATCCCCACAACCCTTGTAAAAGCATGCTTTTTAATTATATAATTTCCCTAGTAACATCCATCATCAACTCCCGTCTGTCCATTGGGCCGGTTCCACCATCTCTGAAAGTCCAGTGGTCAAACTTGCGTGAGTAAAGCGAGGCCAATATTAAATTTGCTTTCAGTGTGAACACACGTTTAGACTGCAATGCCAAAAGTTCCGAAACTGGGTCAAGGGTGATGAACAGACAAACGTGGAATTTGCCCGCGAGTTGACCTCTCATATTCAGCGTTGGTGTGCAGCGGAGAAGGTTATTAATTTTGATGATCTTTGTGAAATGATTATATTAGAGCAGTTTAAAAATACTCTCCCACAACGGAGTGCCTTATATATAAGTGTGCAGAGACCATCCACAGCGGTTAAAGCAGCTGAATTGGCTGATGCATAAAGGGAATAGTTCGAATGTTCGTTCTGGAGGGGGGTGGAAAGGTGTACACAACAGCCCTGCTAATGCTCACACGGGGGTAAGTACTAACTCGATTCCGTCCCATAAGCCTGCTAGTGCAGGACGTGCTGGGTTGTGTCATTACTGCCATGATGAAGGACATTGGAAGGACCAATGTCCTTTAAGATCAACAGAGAAACGCAGTTTTCCCCTTCATGCTCCAGTCATGTGCTGTTCTGCTGTTGCCAGGGATATACTGTCAAGTGGGGACCCAGGGGTTGCGCCATGCAGGGGAGTCTGTGTTACCCCAAATAGTAGTTCTGGTTTTGAACAATTCATCTCTGATGCTATGGTATCATTAGTGGGCAGTGACAAGCGTGTTCCAATTAAGGTGTTGCGCGATACAGCGGCTCATTTATTGTTGAGTCCGTACTGCCTTTTTCAGCAGAGACAGACACTGGGGAACTTGTTCTGATGACAGGAATGGAAATGGGGTTGATTCCGTTGCCGCGTCTCAAATTAGAACTGGACTGTGATCTGGTGCAGGTAGTTGTGACTATTGGGGTATGTCCCGCGGTGCCAATTGATGAGGTTCATATGATTTTGGGCAACGAC